CGTTAACTGATCGTGATAAATGGCCATTTGCCGGAGTAATTTGTTTCCATTTAGACCATGTTAATAATTAAGACCTTTATTCCACTTGGCTATTGTATTCCCCCATTTCAGTGTTAAATCCATTAGAAAGATCAATAATATAAGCTACAGATTCTATACAATCTTCTCAAGTCGAAACTTATAAAATCTGTTGGCATGGAACGGAAAGCTCCCGTAGCCAGACTTGATTGTTCGTAGGGGCAAATAATATATCCGAAGGGGCAATGGTGAATGGTGTTTAATTTTAGTTATAGTATTGGTCGGAGCCTGATGGTACCACTGTCAAAATCATTACATATACTTTACAAATTATTGATCATCCGACATTGCAGCCTCGGTTTTTTAAGAATCTGACAGCAATTTTGTTATTATGAGGGTCGATTTCATTTTACCCCATCAAAACGAGATGGATTTCGCAAATAGTACTTACAAGCGTCATGATAAAGGCACTGCAGTCGACAGAAGTTTGCTTCCCCCAGTTGACAGCTAAAGTGCTGTTTTATTTATCAAAAATATTAAAAAAAACATCATTGGCTATAATAACCTGGTTTATTCTTGGATGCCATTAAAATCTCATAACTGAGCTCAAAGACGACTTGTTTATCTTAGCAACGCAAGAAATATACATATATTTTTGTACACAATTTCTGTGTCATATTTATAGGATATGCTTGTTTCCTCAAAACAAAGGGAAATACATAATAGAAGATAAAAAAGGGTAGTTTATAGCTATTGTCATATTCTTAAATCGATATTTTAGAATGGACTTCCCACGTATTTTAGATATTTTTAACCAAAATAAAAAAGTAATATGGTTCAAAAAATCTGTGTCACAAATCAGAACGATCTATATCTATAATATTGGCAGACTCGATATTTATGGGGGTTGATTTGATTGTTGAATATATGTAAATAGTCTTCAAAAGTACTAGAAATGTACGAAAAACGCATAATTTCTTGCAAAATTCTTCAAACCATAGGAATTTTACTTGCTATTTCTATATGTTATATCTTTTCTATATATTAGTCTCAAAATAAGACGAGTCGTTTTTTTAACTTTCAAACGCGGATAATTCTGGACACACATAGATTTGAAGGTTTAAATTTCGACGGTGAGCTGTGAACACTATTACTGATAAGGTTAGCTAAATATCCCCGTTTCTAAGAATAAGGTCAAAGGACTGTCCCTTTGAACAAATTTCAATTTTCCGGCCAGAACTGACCTTTGAGTTAAGACACAACAATTTTGACGTTAAAAATAAAACGGGAACATTATGGTTCCCATTCATAGTTTTAAATCGTTTTCTATGCTATCATTATTTATAAAACTAAAATTATCTTTATTGTATTATTATTTCAATTATCATAATCATTATTATATCATATCATATAAAATAATATCCCTTTTGAAGTCTTATGGTTGATATCATATAATTACCATTAGATTATATCCCAGGTGTCATATTATTGGTATATCATTGTTGATATTATTGATTTCATTATTGATAAAACTTTAAGAGGGATGAAGCCACTGCAAGCCGTTGATATCATATCATTATTATTACATTACAGGAGAAAGAGTGTTATTTTTTTGACATCATTATTAATATACTATTATTATTCCTTTCGTGGTATACATTTTATCATTATCAATATACCATACCCATTATCAAAAGTATACTATTATCAGTATCAAACCATTATCAATATGAAATATCCAATCATTCATCGTGTCCGAACCACACCCCCATTCGTCATACTTCCTCGATAATTAGACCATGACGTCAAAACCAGTACTGTCGATATCAAACCATTATCACTATATTAGTTATTAATATTTTTATTAAATCATCGTCAATTATCTATAGAACCATTATTAATATCACATCATTATCAATATATAATATCAAACCATTATCAATATCCACTTTCAATATCAAACCATTGTCAATATCAAACCATTATCAATATCAAACCACTGTCAATATCAAACCATTATCAATTTCAAACCATTATCAATATCAAACCACTGTCAATATCAAACCATTATCAATTTCAAACCACTGTCAATATCAAACCATTGTCAATATCAAACCATTATCAGTATCAAACCATTGTCAATATCAAAACGTGATTAATATCAAACCATTATCAATATCAAACCAGTGTCAATATTAAACCATTGTCAATATCAAACCACTGTCAATATCAAACCATTGTCAATATCAAAACGTAATTAATATCAAACTATTATCAATATCAAACCATTGTCAATATCAAAACGTGATTAATATCAAACTATTATCAGTATCAAACTATGATCAATATCACACCATTTCTGATATATTAAACCATTATCAACTCCAGTCTATAAAATTATCTGTTTTGTGTTTCAGTCAAAAATACTATGCTTCAGTAGTAGATAAGCCGCCACCGCCACCAAAGCCATCATCGAAACCAAAGTAAGTATGAAAGGGGAATTCTGAAACTAAAATAAATCTGTGGAGTCAATTTAGGCCAAAATGTATCATTAAAAAGGGATTGTAAAGAGGTTTTCTAAATTTTGTATGTGTATCGGGGACATTGATAGCATCAATTTACACCATTCAAATAGTCGATCAGACGTCAGTGGTGATTACAAATCCACTAAAATTAAGTGTTTGATGACGTCACTAATCGCAAATCACAATCTCAAAGCCCATCATGATGTCATCAAACACCTATGTGGAGAGGAATTGCAGGAAACACAGACGTCTAATTGAAAATCGAAATGGTGCATATTAATACGATACACATATTTTTTTAAGAAAACCTCTTTACAATCCCTTTAAAAGAAATTTCCATGTCTTATGTTGTTTTTGTTGGCAAAAAAATGAGATGACTGGAGTTTTACGTCCTACTTTCCTGCACCACGTGAAAGAGAAATTTTGCCAGGACATCGGCATTAGCCTGCTCATTTCCGATTTTTAACTGTCGAGGGATCTTTAAACGTGCACAGCTTGTGGTACCCGAGGTCTCGGTTTATTGTTCAATGCGAACGACTATTGTATGAGAAAATTAAAACGTTTTTGGAATTTTTTCAAAGTTTTGAAGAGAATTGGAATCTTAGCCTCAAAATAGTAATGACTTAAAGTTGATTAAAATATGCTCTTTTATGGAAGTTTACATTGAAAAGAAACACATTTCCCTCCTAGAAATTTCATCCCCCAAAAAGTCACAAATTTGGGCTGAAAATGGGCCTCTGTAAAAGCAAATTTTGAAGACATAATGTGTGCTTATGTTTATATTTTTATCAAGGCAAAGACATTTTAAGACTAACAAAACTATTCTAAGGCTGCTATTCCAGTTATCATAAAAATAATAGAAAAAATTTATATAACTTTTCACTTTGCTCAGTCAATAGACCCTTTTTTGTTTTTGTTGGAATTGTGTTCAATAATCGATGTCGGTATTCTTATAATCAAAGAACTCTTCCCTTATTGATATTAAGTAATATTATATTGTTTTCTTTTTATTGTCATTAGCAACAATAACGATCTCGTCTTGTTTATATTATATCACAGTCTATTGTGTACTAAACGTACCTGATTCTTACACAGGGTGGGTTAAAAAAAAAGGCAAATCATTGGCAATCGATCGAGTAAGATTACAGAGTTAAGACGAAGCCATCAATTTCTCACACAGTTCCATATAGCCAACCTTTTGGGCCCTTTATGAACTTTTTCTACATAAGGGTGTCTTAATTTTTCTTAAACTTAAACCACTTTTTCGT